AGTTTTGATCCCTCTACTCCACATTCAGCAGTTGTAACATATTCTTTTTTACATAAGTTTACAAAAATCCTTAATGTTCAATACGGTTACGGTAAGCAGTGCGCATTTTTTCAAGTTTTTTTCAACTTTTCGCGAATGTCCGGGATTGGCTAAAGTTTTTGTTTAATATAAGAATTCATTTGGAAAAATTATTTCTGGACAAATAAAACAAAGCCAAAATGACGCTCCTGAAGGCTATTTTCCCGAAGTTGACTTGAAATTTTTCAGAAATTATGGACTGACACAAAGACAAGTCCATCTTTAATTTGAGCTAACTCAAATTTTTCATCTCTGCAGAAGTTTCTCCCAAATTTCTTACTTTATTGCTTTTTGCTCAAAACTGTGGGTTGTTTTTAACCAGGTGCTGCTGCGATGCAAATAGTACCATTCGTTTGGGTGGTGCTTTACGCTTGGCAACTTTTGTTCGCTGTGAAGGATTTGCTTTCTTCATTCCCAAAATCCGTACGATTGTTAAATTCACTGAATCCGGATATTGCTCTTGCATACGGACTTGGTTTCATGTGCCAATATGAAACAGTGGGCAAGTTTTTGTTTGTTTTTAATTCCTTGTGAAATATTCTATGAAGAAGAGGGCATATCGCGAATGGCTCTATCGTCATTTGTACGAAACGCCAACAGGACTGTCACCCTCAAGAATTGAGTTTATTACATGTACTGCATAAATTATAAGCGTTCTGTGTGTGAAGTAATAGTACATGTATTTTGGTATTTTTACGTAGCTCCTTTTCAGCATTTGACTAAATGTCCATAATTCAGAAGATCCACCACGCAATGACAACTTCGATGATTTTGGCAATCTAATCAATTAGCTTATGGATTTGAAAATCAAATTTTTAATTATGCGCATAAATTTTAGCATCAGGAATCCATTGGTCCCAGCTATTCGTGCATCCATCACCGGATGAGCCACTTACACTTGGTCATTTTTTTGTAATGCTCATTGTCGATGCTGCTATTTTTGGCATTATAACCTGGTACATTGAAGCACTGAACCCGGGCTTTGATGGGGTGCCACAGAAGCCATACTTTTTCCTTCAGGTACTTTAATGTATAACCAAAAATTTAACTTAGAGCAGATAAATTTGACAAATTATTTAATTATAAATTCATTTCGTGTAATTAGTCTGGACTTAATCCTATCCCGAATGATTAATTTAAATTCCAATTACCTGACAAACAATTCCGTATGTTTAATTAAAATTTTAATTTGTTAACAAGCAATTTGTCAAGATAGTAGAGCTTTATGCCCAATGCAAAAGTAGCCAAATGAAATAAGCCGTCTGTATTTTTTCCCTTTGCCGCAAGCATAGAGAAATCCGGGGGAAAAGGCTGTAGTAGTTAAGGAAATAAAATGCACAGACGAAATTTTTTTCGTCCATAGCTGATTCTTTTGAATTTCGTGGTGGGCATACGTCATACGCGCACTGGGTACTAATGGAATGTGTGCAGATCAGGTTCGAAGAATCTGTTAATTAATTTGATTTAACGACAAATTACTTTGTACTCAACTGTAGTCAATCCCTGAATTTGGTCAGGGGAAAAATTCGACCCGTGCAGTTTGCTGCTTCGCTTCGGCGATACTGGTACTGGATTTAAATTGGTACTGGCTCATGCCAGAGAAACAAAGTCGCTGACAGCTTCCAAACTTCGAAAGAGGAAGCCATCGAGACAGCTTTGCTATTGGCGATTCTTGCTGTCCCCGAGTGAAATGGGAATATGAAGGAGGTTTAGACTTAAATTTGCGCTAGAAGACTATAATTCTGCGTCAATTATAGGGCATACAGCTTAGGAGTGATAACCTGTCTTCCTCCAATAAAGAGCTGTTTTTTGCAAATGGTTATGGACTAGGAGGAAACCAAACCTCTCCTTACAATCAACAAGTTTTTTTCCATTAGATACTGCCCCTGGTACTTCACTCTCCAGCTCGAGCATTTATATCTGTCTGTGTGTCCACTTGCATTTATACCTATCCTCAGTGTCTAAGGTGCAGAGCATGTATTTTGCCAGCACGTATTTTGCCTTTGCTAGCTTTTCGCGAGACTTCCACGACAATTTCTCTTCTCTTCTGATATATTTACATAGTATTAGTGATTGAATTTCAGGATGCGATTCTGTGCGGAGGAACTATAAATGATTTTCAGGGTGGTCTCGTACATCTACTATTTCTGTTATGAAAATTTAATTACTGGTGGTTGTTACAGAGATCATATTGGTTTGGAGGAAAAAGGCTTTTCGCAAGG